CTCTCTCTCTTTCTCTGTAACAGAAGCTCCTCTTAGCAGACTAATCAATTCAGAGCTGTTATTCTGAAGGGCACTTAATTTCCATGCCTCCCCCACACACCTGAATCCCACACTTAAGCAGTTATTCATCCCACCAACTGTGTATTTTCTTCTGAAGATCAACAGTAACTGAGATGGTAGGGGTAAATGTGAGAGAGATTTAGATTGAAAGAACAATGTGAGGAAAGTTGACTTCTTCTTCCTGAAAAACAATGTCTGCTTTTATCCTGTTAAAATCTCATAATCTCCTCCTATCTCATCTCTTTGTTCCCTAATCAGAGGTACAGATGACTGTACAGTATCTGGGTTATTTGTAAGACAGACTTGCCTCTGGAGGGCGCTTTGGGATCATCTTTTCACTTTGACTTGGCTATCCCTGTTCTGTAGGCCCAGCCATATTTAATGACATACAAAAACAGCAACTATACTTACCACAAGGAAAATACTCCCGTTTATGGAAGCCAGATGCTGTGCAAGGATAAAGCACCATCCATCGAATATCCTACTTCAGGTAATCTTAGCTGTTTGACACCAAAATCAAGAGATATCACTAAGGACGAATTTAAAATATCAACTCTTTCTCAAATTCTGAACATATTTTGCAGTATTTTCAGCAGGGACCCATACTTTTTAATAAAGTTGCAGATATGATCCATGGTAATGAACATTAACATGACTAGCAGCCCTGAAAGAATATAGTTAAGATACTATAGAGAGCCAATTTGGTCTAGTGATGAAGGCACCAGGCTAGAAAGCAGAAGACCGTGAGTTCAAGTCCTGAATTAGCCATGAAAACCAGTTGGGTGACTTTGGGCCAGTCATTCTCTCAGTCCAACCCACCTCACAGGGGGGTTCTTGTGGGAAAAATAGAAGGAGGAAGATGAGTTGGACATGTTCGCCACCTTGAGTTATATGTAGAAATAATAAAGATACAAACAAACAAAACAAATACTAATAATGTATTGTCACTGGGGGAGGAGGAGCCTTTTAAAGGAAATGTGGATTGTTCATTTATCCCAAAAAATAAAGCTGTACTTAAAGATGTGAGACTTCCTCTTATGCAGATGTACTCTTACTCTTATTCAATTGAATTGCAAAAGAGTTCAGTTGAACTTATTTTGAGGTGTGTGTAAGATTACTGTATAATCTAATTTATTGGAAGAAAACTTATGAAAACATCCTGATGATGTTGGCTGTGACATACATGTTTCTGTTGTACTACCTACATCTTTAAGATTTCTCAGAATTTTTTTTCTGCAACATATCAGAAAAGTTCATTAGTGTGCTTGCTCTTGCAGCTGGAAAAATCAAATAATTTATGGCTCAGCTGCTGTAAATAGTTAATTCTAACTTTTGAATCTTACATGCATTATTATGCTATTTTTTCTTAATAGTATGAGTACTTTACAGGTAGTTCTTAGCAACTGCCTTATTTAGTGACTGTTCAGTTAGGATGGCAATGAAAAAGTAGCTTTACAACCAATCCTTGCATTTGCAACCTGCTCAGGTCTATGAAGCAAAGGAAAACTGAAGACCACAAGCACAGTTGTGTTTTCACTTAGTGATGGCTTCAGTTTACAATCAAGTTGTTGATCCCAGTTGTGGTTGTTAAACAAGGACTATCTGTATTTATTTAGCATATTTAAAAACCACTAACTCCAGTGGCTTTCAAGGAGAGGATAGAACCAGTGGAAACCATGAATTGGTAATGTAACACAATAATATCACTAAGTACAGTCAAGAAGTTATGTTCATTAACATAAATGTTCGGAAGAAGTGATGAGAGATAGCTCTTTGGCACAAGGGAAAACCTAAGTTGAAAGAAGCAGCATTTCCCGTGTCAAAAGAAGAATGGCCCTGGAACTAGAGGGGGGAGGCCTGCTCTGAGTAACCTCAAAAGGCTAATACTATCGGGCAGGACCCAGAATCTGATGGAGTCATCACCAGCATTAATATAGAGGCATCACAGATTGATCGTGAAGGAAGTACACATCTTCTGAACTGGAACCATTACATTCACTCTCACTCTGTAGAGCAGTGGTTCTCAACCTTTTTAATGCCGCGACCCCCAACCGGTTGTAAGTCGAGGACTAAACCGGTCGTAAGTCGAGGACTAAACCAGTCGTAAGTCGAGGACTAAACCGGTCGTAAGTCGAGGACTAAACCAGTTGTAAGTCGAGGACTACCCAACCAGTTGTAAGTCGAGGACTTTCCCTGCCTGGGAGCACCGCGCATGGGTGGTTCCGCCCCCTGCGCCGGCCGAGGCGTAGCTGGCAAGCGGCAGAGACGGAGCAGGCCGACCACCAGCTGGCCCAGCTCAAGGGAGGTAAGGCACCCGCCGGAAAAGGGGAAAAAAATGGTGGACAGCCTTGCTTGGCGACCCCCGTGAAATGGTCGATCGACCCCAAATGGGGTCGCGACCCATAGGTTGAGAACCGCTGCTGTAGAGAACTTGGGGTGAAACAAAGGGGACACTGTGAAGACACGTCTTACAAAAATTATGAATAAGGCTTTTTTTATGCTGAAATTAGCAACCTCTTGCAGGAACCTCTTGCTTCCTGCAAGAGGTTTAATTACAATGTGTTTTTTCCCCCTTTTGTTCTTTTTGTTTTACAGTGCATAGCCTAAAACCAGCTGATGTGCAAGTAATAGCTGCCTTGGGAGATTCCTTGACTGTAAGAAGCCTGGTTCTTTTGCCATTCTTTGCCTAGGAAAGCTGTGGTTCCCTTTGTTTATTTAAATATAGAGTACAGGTTCATGTGCTAGCTCCTGGGAGAGGAAATGTGGAAATGTAGCCTTAGGTCACGGGTGTCAAACTCACTGCGTCACGTGATGTGTTGCAAAGTATCGCGACTTTTTTTGCATTGCCGGAGCTGGGGTGGGCGCGGCATCTGTATGATGCAACCGGCCGGCAGTTTGACACCCCTGCTGTAGGTTCATCATAATTCTCAGCCCTAATGAGATTTTTTTTTCTATGACTCAGTATGTATCAAATCATTACGGCTCAAGTTTTCATGTAAATGCAGCCTGGCTTTTTCAACAAAACTGACAGCCTTAATCACTTCATTAAGTAATTTAATCAGACATTGATAGCAGCTGTTTTGAGTTCTAAAGGGAAACTTCATCAGTCTGTTATTTTTATCCCTGACTCCCTGAACTTGAGCAAAGCTGGGCTATTGGTATGAGTGGCAAAACACTTTTGTAATTTTAATATAAAGCATGGCAAAGGCTGACAGTGAGGAAAAACCAAAACAAAGTTATTGGTTCCCCCCCCCCCAAATGCACAATTTTAAAAGCTGATTGTTCATAGCAAGAGTTCAGATTTCAGATGAAGGATCATAGCTCTTAGAATGTCAGCTTTATGAACAGATGTAGCTCAGTTGTTCTGGGTGTATTCTAAGTGCTCGTTTTGTGTAGGTGGGATAGGAGGAGAATTAAGGTGGCAGGATTTCCTGATTGTTCCAGAATGAGAGGGCAACACAGTGCAGAAGATGTGTGGATGTGGCCTACATGAGGGGCATCGATTTCTAAATTGTGCTGCTACTTCTCCCAATCATCTTCATTTTGTCTCTTTGTTGCATTCTATGGGCTTCCAAGAAAAACTCTGTTTTTGTTGCACCTTTACACATATGCAACAACCCCATTTTGACTTTTCTCCATTCAGCTTCATTGAATAAATAATAGGACAGCGGTAGTACAAGAGCTCACTGAACTGATAGTGTATCATTTCTTGATGAATTTCTCGCTGTATTGCTCCATTAATCTTGCATCCTGCTTATAACAGCTCAAAACATCACTTTGTGCATCCATAAATCTTGTTGATGGGACATGGTGTATGCCTCCACTATTTCAGATCTTTTAAAATGTCATGCAGGGGAGGCTTATAATAATAATGATGTGTGGATAAAAATGCCAGATCCACCTAAACATGTGGCTGGCTGTGTGACCAATTATAATAATAAGTTTTGGACTGCACTTAAGAAAATCTGTGCATTGGCAAAATTTCCATCTGTCAATTACAAAAGGCCTCACTGCTTGGATCCTCACAGATATTATGCGTATACATTATGACATTCTAGATCGGGGCTGTCAAACTCGCCGTGTCACATGACGTGTCGTGACTTATCGTGACTTTTTTCCTCTTGCCGGAACTGGGGTGGGTGTGGCTTCCACGTGACGCATCCGGCCCATGGGCTGGCAGTTTGACAGCCCTGTTCTAGATTCTTGGGAAGAATTTGATGCTGACGAAGGCTAACACTATTTAAAGAACTGGCAGCTGGGATTTCACACTTTTATGTATATCATTATAATTAAATAATTATAAAGGTCAGATGCCCATGTCATAAGTGCCAAAGACTTAAGGGGGTAGTTTTATTTGAGCAATTAAAAAAAGGAGAAGAAAACACAAAATACATAAATGGTGAAATCGTTCTTTCTGTTTTTTCTGAGACAGGCTGGTATTGGAATTGGATCAGCACCAAATGATATGCAGGATATGCATACACAATATCGGGGTCTGGCTTGGAGGTAAGTTTGCTGTCTTTGGGCTCAAGTCATGGCTGGTTAAAGTGTTATCCATCCGTCCTTGAGCCCGCAGAAAAGTCTGCTACAATATTCTGCTATAATATTCTGCTACAATAACAAGCACAGCAGATGGCGCTGTTCTTGTTTGCTTACTGCGAATTCAGGAACTGATGGAGTCCCTTGGGTTGATTTTATAGCTGGTGGGGAAAACAAGCACTTGTCCTTCTCTCTTTCTGGAGTGGGGCCAGTTTAGATAAATGCTTAGTACAGTAGGTTTTATCCACCTGTCAAGTTATCCAGTACCTAAGTAGTACCTAAGAGAGACCCAGGATATAATAGGGGGGAATTCTCCCAATGCTTCTTGTAACACTGCCTTCATCCTGTTTTTATAACTTTTATTATTGCAATGGAGTCACAGATGAATGCTAAAACTACAGTATGGCCTTGATGAGATCACTGCCAGGACACGCCTGAGGCCACTGCAATTGTCAGGCTGTTTGTTATTTATGAACTAGACTCCATTTCCTTTCAATCGTGGTTGGGAATGTAACTTGTTCATCATGGATTTGCTCCTCTCCCCTTGCTTTGCCCCATATACCCATCTATGACTGTTACCTGTCAGCTGGGTTCACCATCTTTCAGAAGAGCCTTGCACCCATGTTTAGAAATTGCCCATCAGGCAACAGATGCAGAACAAAAACTTTGCAAGAGCCCTGTCCCATTCCCCTCATGCTGTTTCTGTGTGCCTGTTATCTATCAAAGGAACT